ACTTAATGCGTCTTATGAAGGAGAGGAAGTGGTTAAAGGTTGATAATCTTATAAGGTTAGGCAAGAACTTCACTTCGAATGCGTCTTTTGAAGCAGCATACTTTAAAAAGCATTGTGAGTTGTTGGTGGAAGCTCATGACCCACTTTTATTCCTCACACTTAGACAACCACTGGGACCGATTTGCCTCTCACAGCGTCCTTCATTCACACCGCGGTGATTTCGACGCCATCTTTTAGCTCCTTAAACTTTCCATGCAATAGAAGCAGATCATTACAATAAAAAGGCAACAAGATAGCCCTTTGTGTTAAATGAAATGGAGCCTTTGGGAGCCACTGCTCTCTCATGGGTATTGACCATAAATGGGAGTCCTCTTAACGAGGGTGCGACATTAGGAAGGGAAGGTATCTTAAAAAAACAACACACACACACACACTCATGACTCTGCTTCTTATCAAGCATTTATTAATTTCCTTTAGCGTTTTAATGTTTCACCCCTAATCAGTCATAAATTCCCACGATCTGACTTCTAAGTCTAGGCTAAAAAACCACCCTCCACTGCAGTGAGGCATTCACTCAGTAATTTATTTCCAAACAATTACTGAGGTGTTCTTTGGGACACCCCACATTATCTGCCATAAATTACCCAAGGTGGATTCCAATAGCTGGTTGGTATTGTGATAACTTGAATTTTATTCCGTCTCATCCTCCCTTAACAATGCCCAACAGGTCGTTCACGAATTAGCCTATGCGGAAGCAAGTCGACATCATACAAGGTGTAAGGATAATTTTATGTACTAAAATCAGATTCAGATATTTGTTTATCCCAATTAATTCCCACATCAGCAAAGGAGGAGACATTTTCGCATTGTATGAACCTAATCAAATCACCCTAATTGGATGATGGTGATGGTCCGCACTACCTACAAGCACCGTTTTTTCAGACACATCAGGTGCGCGTTGTGGCGAGGAAGCCGGAATTCGACCACAATCGCAAATTTTCCCCACCAAAAAAGGCCCTTAAAACCGTGTAAATGCATAATTACTTTTACATTTGCATTGGAATGCCGTCTTCAGGAGTAACGTTTACGGTGCTGCCCCCCAATAAACTTGCATTTTTATTATTAATGACCTCCTGTTGTTCCCTTTTAAATACTTATCCGACAATAAAAGTATGTGGGCAGATTTTAAGTAGAACAGGATTTGAAGTAGTACTTTACGTGTCTACCATGGTTAAGACTTTAAAGTACAGTGCAGTAAATGAACAGGAAAGTCCGTGGATGAGAGAGCATGCGAAACACTTAGATATGAATCTGCCGCTCGTAACTGTTCTTTTTAGTCCTCTCTACCAATGCTTTATTATCCCATAAAAGGCCTGAATAATCGTATTTTAGTGGCAAGTTGGTTGAGCTTGTCTTCCTTGCCAGCGCATTTCCCATTCCACTTCTAATCTCGCAGCAGTCTGTAGGCGAGGTTTCAGACCCTCTCCAATGCTTGCTAACATTCGGAAGACAAGGCCTCTTTTAACTACGTTTTTGGATTAAGAATTCGAAGGCTTTGAACGGCAGTACAGTGAAGGGATGGGAACAGAGCTGTACATTCTCCACCACCTTGAATGATTGCGACGGACGCGATGAAGTGTCATACAATTTAATAACAAAATTGACCCACTTTGTGCCCTTTTTAGGGTATTTTCAATACCCACGCATTTTAGCTTGTCAAATGACTGACATGCTGCAAGGGCAGTGGAAATGGAGTGGATCAGTG